AAGAGAAATCCAAAGAAGCAAATCTCTTCTCTTGAGCTAACAGAGTCATGATGACACACCCAGCCCACTGTAACCCTTCACCATAACACTGCCTATGAGGGAGAGGAGAGAGAGGGAGAGAGAGAGGAGGGAGGGAAAGAAAGAGTGCATAAAAAAGAGAAAGGAGAGATGAACATAAACATGTACATGTATGTACAATAAGTTGAAATTAAGGTTGAATAAGAAAAAAATTATTTTGAAAACTAGATAAATAGAAGATATCAATATCCCCATATCACATAATATCACACTATATGGGTGGGCCCATTAATATAATTAAAACCCAATGAATTATAAAAGCATTGTTCTATCATTGCAGATTCACGACTTGTTTACAAACTATGAATACAGTACATGTATGAGTACATGTCATGTACATGTTCATAATGATCACTCACTCAATGGTAATTTCTCCTTTAGTGGGAGGTAGACAGTAAGCAAACTGTATGGCACTCCATAGTCTGTGGAACTCCTGACACTCATCAATGGACATCACACCATTAGCTGGTGGGGGGCCCTCCCATATCTATTAAAAATAGGATATTTTCAGTATACTAATGCAACAATTCTTGTATATAAAAATCTTAATTTAAGTGCATTTGCATGTATCATGCTAATCTTAATTGCCACACAATAAATCTTAGTACATACTACACATATACTGTACAGTTACTTTTAGTACACTATTAGTATATTATTAGTATACCATTAGTATATTATTAGCATACTTACAGGGTCACAGGTGAGGAATGATTTGATTCTTTGCATGACTAGTTCAAACATTGATAGTGCCCGACAGAGTCTCTCTCTTGTGAGTAGCTCAGCATCACGAGCGTTGGCTCCTTGTTGCTCGGTGCCGTAACGTGATATCATTGATACCATGTTCAGTGCTGCGTACTGCTGGTCAAGGTTCTTCATTACAGTCTCCATATTCTGATCATCTGAGAAGAGAGAGAAAGGACAGTATTAATAAGTGGTGTACACTCAATGTAACTTTAAAGAAATATTCCCATTTTGGTATAGTCCTCATGCAACTTCTTGTCAGTGGATTGTCAAGTTGCTAAAAAATTGGGCCAAAGATGACCCTGTACTGTTACAGTACAGGGTATTTCATCAAAAATGGCTAGGAGAGAATTCTCTATTTTTATAATTTATTCTTGTACGTATACATGTTCTAATGCTGTGTTTCAAGTTTGAACTGATTCCGATCAAAATTGGATTTTTTAATGAATTTTTAAAGTTGCTCCAAAATCTGGCCAAAGTCCCTGTACTATAGTACAGGGTCTTCGGCCAGATTTCATCAAAAACGACTAGGAGAGAATTCTTCATTTTTATAATTTTTTCTTATACATATACATGTTCTAATGTTGTATATCAAGTTTGAACTGATTTCAATCAAAATTGGATTTTTTACGAATTTTAAAAGTTGCTCCAAATGCTATGTACTGTATTGTAGTGCTTGTCAGCTCATGAAGCTCATGCTGTTTAGCTCACTTAGCATGCTTTGTGGGAAACACTGTGTACATGTACAATTGTACATGTGATGAACATGTACATCTACATGTATATAATTTTTAATTTACCTTTCACGTATGGTTTAGGGTACAGGTTTTGAAAAGGTGCAGCCTGCAGTATGTCCACCACCTCTTGCTGGCCAAGAGCCTTCTCAAGGAGGAGAGAGAATATCACTGCATTTCCTAATTCTTTGAAAGCTTGAAACACGTCAGTCCTGAGGTCCTTGTACTGTATGACTGGACCCAATTGAGCTAAATAGAACCCTAGGACACCTGGGGGGGAGAGAGAGGGAGATAGAGGAGAGAAAGGGATACATTTGTAGATGTACATGTATTTTATACATGAATATTATCAATATTGCAAAAGTTAACCAATTAAAGTTTCAATTACATGTACAATGTACATGTATTTCAGTACTTACATGTACACCATTAAAACATTATTATCATTATTATTATCATTGTTGTTGTTGTTGTTGTTGTTGTCATTACCTTTGGATCCATACTGAAAGAAAGGGAGTTTACACTTTTGTGGTAACCCAGCAACCAGAGCTTCAACATAAGGCTTTAACTGAGTCTGAATAATCTATAAATAATAAATAAATTAATAAATTAATTTAAAATATACAAAAATAAATAAATAATGATAATAATACATGTAAATGCAAATATGCTAAAATCTACATGCTTAGTTAATTAATTAAAATTAGCCCCACCCACTACTTACACTGCTCTTAATGACATTAAGTAGTTGCTCCAGTAACATTGCTATTCCATGATATCCCAATAGTTTACTGAGGGCACTGAAATGAATGGACCCAACAAATCCACCATAAAGTGTGAATATGCTCTGGTATGCCTCCTTGAGTTGTTTGTTACCATACAACATGGTGGTGACCGTTTGACTTTTAGGAGCTGATTCTCTTTCTGGAGGCTCTTGAGGTAAATGAGAGAGAACAAATCTAATGGAGGGAGAGAGAGAGAGAAAGAGGGGGAGAGAGAAGGTGGGAAAATGAAGTTAATGAGTGAAAAAGAATCAAAAGAGATAATTATAGGAAAAAAGGAATTTATAAAAGACAATTTATAAATTTATAAAAGAGGAAGAGAGAGGAAGAATGATAGGGGGAGGGGGTGAGGAAATGAAGTTAGTGAGTGAAAGAGAATCGAAAAGAGATAGAAAAAAAGAATCAATTTTAAAAGGCAGAGCCTTAGGGATGAACATAAGGCAAGACAATGATAATAAAATGTGAGTGGCTTTTATAAAACAATGTACATGTATAATGCAGTACATGTACATGTACATGTACATATAATGTAGTACAACGCATGATTCCTTATTGTTACCTGTCGGTAGTTGAATTGTAGCAATAGTTAGGAATAAAGTCATAAA